AATTATTAATAAAACCAGGAAGATTTAGCTGGGAGAAGAGTCATCTTGAAAAGAACATGGGGTTGCTATGTTCAAACATTTGAAGGTTGTCACAAAGATGAAGGACCGAGGACCAATAACTCTAAGTTACAAGAGGATAAATGGTTTTAACTCAACATAGGTAGAATGCTCAATAAGCAGTTCAAAAGTTATGCTGTTGCCACGGAAAGTGATGAATCTTTTAGTGGTGGGAAGTTCCATAACTACTCTGACACTCTTGTGAATCAGTGAAAATCCTCTAATGCCCCCTCCACTCTGTGGAGTCTCTCTCTGAATGTCTCACTGGTTAAGTTTACTTCAAGGCTGCAAAAATCTAAAGACCAAATTCCAGGATCATCGGAGCTTTCAACTTTTGCCCTATATTCCCTATGCCAACTGCCCTTCTCTCCTCTCATAAAACGGAAACAGCCAAAGATGTTTCTCATTTGGGGAAAGATTAAGAGGAAGCTATGAGCACAAAACAAGGTTATCACCTCCTTCAATGTCTAGCCCAAAGACAGCCCAATTTTCTTCTAGGGGAATCTCACTTCTTTTTACATAAGGCTTTAAAAAGTTCTGCCCCACTGGCAGCTAAATAACCCAAAGGGAGTCTTCTCATTTTTGCTGTTTGGGACATATTGTATTTTCATTTGTCCAGAGAATGAAGCAAGTTCAGCAGAGTGAAGTTTTATGGTATCCATTTTTAGTTTAATAAGAGAAAGAATTTTTTAACCATTATTGCTGTTTAGTAATGGGGTGGGGTGTCTTTGGGGATAGCAATGGCCCTGTCAGTGGAAGTATCAGAACTGAAGTTAGGTGGGTGTGGGCAGTTAAACTAGATTATTTTTAAAGTCCCTGCCAACCACAAGAATCTATACTTCTATCTATACGATGGTATGGTAATTTCAAATGGAGTGAGGGAAGAAACATCACTTGAGTATATAAATAAATGAACCCAGGTTGAAATGATACACATGTGCACTTACTATAAACACTTTAATTTAGAAAGTAAAATGAAAACATCCATTTCAAATGGTTTTGTTGCTATTTTCTTCACCAAGGTATTGTATTTTGAAGATTATTTTAAAAAATTTTAATGTTTATATATTTTTAATAGAGAGACAGAGCACAAGCAGGGGATGGGCAAAGAGAGAGGGAGACACAGAATCTGAAGAAGGCTCCAGGCTCTGAGCTGTCAACCCAGAGCCCGATGCAGGACTTGAACTCATGAACTGTGGGACCATGACCTGAGCAGAAGTCAGACACTTAATAAATCCCAGACACCCTGGCACCCCTAAAGATTCTTTTTAAGTAATCTCTACACCCAACGTGGGGCTTGAATTCATGACCCTGACATCAAGAGTTGCATGCTCTTTTATGAAGATTTTATGAAATCTTTTAAAGATTTCATTTTTTTTTAAGTAATAGAGCAGGATATTTTAATGATAAATGTTTACAGTATATTACAAAGAAACAAGTTTTCTAAGAATATATACATAAATAACAAACAAAAGACTGGGTCTATAAAAGCTTAAGTGAAATCCCAGAACAGCAATTATATAATGTCCTCTGAAAACGTGTAACAAGGCTTGACTTTGTGTGAATCACTGCGTTATACACCTGAAAGTAATATAACACTGTATGTTAACTATACTGGAAGTTTAAATTAAAAAAAAGGGGGGGGGCTTGATTTTGGTTCCTCCTTTCACCTTCAGACCATGAAAGAAATCACCCAGTAACATATGAAATTCAATGCAGTGAGCATAGGTGAACACAAAAATGCATGTAAGAAAGAAGCTACCACCAGATCATCTCAAAGCTATTCCTATAGTTAAAACTGCCTATCTGGGGCACCTAGGTGGCTCAGTTGGTTGAGCATCTGACTCTTGACTTTGGCTCAGGTCACAATCTCAGGTGCCACGTAGTCTGTGTTGAGCTCTGTACTGAGTATGGAGCCTGCTTCAGATGATCTCTCTTCCTCTCTCTCTTCCTCTCTCTCTGCCTATCTCTCTCTCTCAAAAAAAAAATAATAATAATAATGATTAATTCAATTAAAAAGTAAAAACTCTGCCTTTGTGACTCTCATGTAAGAAGCAATGGTGTCCCACTGAACAATTTCATCAGGTACTTTTGTAAAAATGAATACGGAGGCTTTTGACACACTTCCTTCATATTGCTAAGCAATATACCTCCCCCAGAGAATGTTCATTCTCTGCCTTTACAAAGAGCATGGTTGTATCAATACCTGGCATTTCCTCTTTAATAAACAGGGAACTCGTACATGAGCTGAGAAAACATCATTAAACACACTTCCTTTAGTCATTCAGTAATTTAGTTGCCATGGTAATCTTTAGTAAACTTGAAATGTACTTTGGAGGGGTCATTTCCAAAGCTTATTTTTAAAATTCTAGAACTTTTACAAGTTGTAGAGGATAAAGGAGCTGAAAATGCTTTTCTCTTCAATGCCTTACCGTGGATTCAATCGAATAGAGCACAGCTATTCACAATATGACATGCATTACACCTCTGACAATGATCACTTCATCATTTCCTACCTCAAGATCATTCTTATAGACTGTCCATATCTTCCCAACTGAGTGAAAGTATTAACTCAGTTCTCCGTGGCAGCAAAGGGAATTAAATCATGAAATAAGCACTTCCTATAATAGTCTCCAAAGCTTTTCACAATTGAGCAGTGTCATTTTTGGTCTTCCATCAATAATAGGGTGACAAAGTATACTCTGAAGCAGTTTAACAAAGGAACATCAGATAACTCAGGACTTGAACAGATCCAGGCTGCTACCCAAGGAAACACTGTCGGACAGGAGGCTCTGATGATTCACAGCTCTGACCCGCTCTGTTCATCAACCATGTCAGGGCTCAAAAGGTTTCAGGAAACACTGTCTGGAAGACTTTTTTTCTGGCTAATAGCTACATTTGACAACTGACCTTTAATCTTTACTTCACATTATCATCCTATCATTAGCCAAGGATAATACACGAGCATTTTTCAAATATGATTTGATGGACTGAAGGTGTTCTAAAGACTTTTCATCCAAAGAAAGACACTATTATTAGCTTTACCAGACTCTGACTCTACCCTGAATTTTTAAAAAGAACTTAATTAAGTAAAATTAATGGTTCCACTAGCGTTAAATAAGCAGTCACACACTATTTGTTTCCTTCTTTTCTGTGGGGCTCTGTTGGTCACATTAGAATAGGATAACACTCATGAACTAAAGCAGTGAAGGCTGTGTGGTAGAAAGAGCACTGACCTGGAAAACAAGAGTCTGCTTTGACCTTAAGCAAACCATTTAATATCCCTCATTCTGTTGTCTCATCTATAATATCTGGAGACTGAACTGAATAGGAGAGCACGTGGCTCCTATCAGCATAGCTGGAACACAGAGGAAGAAGTAAAATATGAGGTTTGGCCCTGTAGGAAAGGGCCAGACCATGGCTTGTGGGTCTCCTCAAAGATTCTGATATTTACCTTCAGAGCAGTAGGATATAATCCACTGAAGATTTAAGCAAGGGGGTGATGTGATCAGAGATGTATTTTGGAAAGCTCACTGTGGAGACTGGACTAGAGATCAAATCAGAGACATGGAACCCAGTCAATAAACTACTTCAGTAGACTTGGGATGATCTGCTTATGTTCCTGCCACTGTGGCAGAGGCCACTTTACTACTACCCAAATAAATCTAGCCCTGCCTCAATGCTGAACTACTCTTTTAGACAGAGATCATAATCCTGCCTTCACAAGATTGTTAAAAAGCCAGCACAGCGCTTTATCAAACTGACAGCTGTCACGTTCTCCACTCTTCCCACCTTGGTCCCAGGATATGGTTATGGGATTTTGGAATACTTACTTGCCACCTGGGACCCTTCTAGAGACTCAAAACCTACCACCAAATCCTACTTCCATAGCTCACCCTTTATTTCCTGCTGATAGAGCTCCGCCCTCCTCCCAAAGTCAGGTAAGGCTTGCACACTGTTAGAATGTCCATCAGTTTGGTCTTGAAGCCAGAAGTCCTAAGTTCCAGTCCTCATTTTGATACTTCCTGGTTATGTGAGCTTGGGCAGTTTGCTTACTGCTTGCAGCCTTAGAGTCTTCATCCAAAAAGTAGGGTAATAACTATCTCACAGTGTGGTCAGGATGATCAAATGAGATGACCTATTAAAAGCACTTTGGAAATCATTCTGCATATCCTAGGCCTCCTTGCATTCTCCATTTCCAGTAATCATATGGCAGGCCCTAGACCTTCCAGCCCATTCCACCGTGGATGAGCCCCGGTATGACAGGCTCATTTCTGCTCTTGGGAGCTACAATAAATAAATCACCCCCTTCTTCAAATATATGAAACCATCATATCATCATATCAGAAGACTGCCCTATCTGAAAACCCTCCTTTGGCCTCACTCCTATTTAGTGTCGGCTCTGAATTACCCCTTTTTTCCAATGTCACTTCCTCTCACTACTAGCTTCAGTTTCTATCAGATTACTCCCCTCCATTCTCTGCTACAATTTTCCAAGTAATGATACTAGTTCAGACTCTTCTAAGAGAATTGAGGGTAGGAAGGTAGGAGGAGACTAGGAAGTCCCATGAAAGTTCCTAGAATGTGTGTGCATGAGGAGGGTGGCTGCTGCTTAAACAAACCTCATTAGTTTTCCAGCTGCCTCTGTGTGTGTATCTTTCCATCAACAGTGATTATGCAAATGTGATATTTGTTTTAATGAGCATGTCAGGTGTGTTTTGCTGTAACATTATGTATGACTGACTGTGGTATTAAAATAACAACTTGATGACAACTGCACAAGAATATGTGAAACTGTGAAACAGAGGTCTGGCAAACTTCTCTCTTCTAACAGGAGCACAATCTCTGCTGGACAGTAGCAGTCTAGATCTTCTAAAAATCAATTCTCACAATGTGAAGAAAATTCATATATTCAGAATCCATACCTAGTCATCCATACTTACCAAACTCCTTTGGAGGCACAAGATTGGCCTGGGGCTCCAGCTGGCCAGTTGACTAATCTTAGGGAGGCAGTCTTCAGACCATAAGTGGCCTTTTTTTGTGAAGCTGTACAGGTTGAGGAAAGGACAGATTTTATTCTGGAAGATGCAAAATGGCAGAGTGGTTTTATAGACAGACCATAACTGAGTATGAATTCTGGGTTCCTACTCTTTCTTGCTGCATAATCTTAGCAGAGTGAGTCTTTGCAGATCTTAATTTTCTTATCTATAAAGTAAAGATACAGGATAATGCCTACTTCGTGGGGTACTCTAAGAATGTAATGAGGTGAGGTGCTAGCTGCAAAGCACTTAGCATAGTATACAAGCCCTCAATAAGTTGTTCGTGTTAGTAGAGGCTAGGACTGCCAAAGCATTAATTTTCTGTCTACTAGTCTAGACTCTGTTCACTGTCTTAGATGTTGGTGAAAATACTCCACCCTAGATTTGTAATCCCATATGTTCCTCCCACCTCCAGCTGCAATTCACCCTATCCTGACAGCTTCTCTCCACCTGTATTAAAAAAAGTCAAACCTTCTTCTGAAGGATATATGTAAGTGACCAAAATAATGGGAACTACTGAAAAGAAAGAAAGGGAACTACTAATATCTCTTCTCAAGGACTCTAATAGTTGTCTGGCAGGATCAGGAGAGGAGCTTATTGGCAAGAAGGCTCTCCACTTCAACTCCTGCTTTCATTACACATAGTTGGGCAGGGAGAAAGGTGGCCTACTAGAGGAAGATCCCCCATCCTTCTTGGAACACAAACAGGGACAGTACCAAGAAAACCAATACACCAATACTGAGTAAGTTACAAAGACAACTTGATCAAAATCCATTTTCAGTTCCTTGATTTTACCTTATGGCTTCTAGTTATTGCTCTGGCCCTCCCTATAACAATACTTGTAGATATTTCTTCCAAATCATGTAAGGTTGGTAGTAAAGGACCAAACATCATGAGCTACCATTTGGTCATTTTATCTTTCTACTCCTGACTCTAAAAAAGTGTATGAATGGAAATTCTTAAGCAACAATAAGAACAAAAACAAAACTGATGGAATACCTGCATTCTTATGACAATGATAGCAAGTCTGAAGGTTTTAGGCATTTCCTGTTGTCATAAAGGCAAAAACAAATTTCATTATCTGAAAAGTCTGAACATCAACATGGACAACAACCCCTTATCCAATATACAGCTACAAATATTTTGCCCATTTGACAGGCTACCTTTTCATTTTTTTTTTTTATGGTTTCCTTTGTTGTGCAAAAGCTTTTTAGTTTGATGTAGTCCTATTTGTTCATTTTTTTCTTTTGTTACTTGTGCTTTCAGTATTATGGTCAAAAAATCATTGCAAAGACCAATGTCGAGGAGCTTCTTCCCTATGTTTTCTTCTAGGAGTTATGAAACAGGAAATTAAGGAAATATCTGCACTCCCATGTTTATTACAGCATTATTCACAATAGCCAAGACATGGAAACAACCTAAGTGTCCATCAACAGATGAATGGATAAAGAAGATGTGATATGTATACAAAACAGAACATTATTCAATCATGAAAAAGAGGGAGATCCTGACACTTGCAACAATATGGATAGACCTTTAAGGCATTATGCTAAGTGAGATAAGACATACAGAGAAAGACAAATAGTCCATGATACCACTTAGACCTGTAATCTAAAAAAGCTGAACTCATAAAAACAGAGACCACACGGGTGAGGGCTTGGTGGGGGGAGGGGAAGGGCAGGATTGGGGAGATACTGTTTAAGGATATGAACTTGCAACTAATAACCAAGTCGTGGAGATCTAATGCACAATATAGTGATTCTAGCCAACAATATTGTTGACTTTTTATAAACTTAAAGTTGCTAAAAGACTAGATCTTAATTGTTCTCACCACAAAAAGGAAATGATTATTATGTGACATGATGAAGGTGCTCATTAATGCTACAGTGGTAATAATACTGCAATATATAAATGTACCAATCAACATACTGTAATCTTAAATTTACACAATGTTATATGTCAATTATATCTCAATTTTTTTAAGCAAAAAAAATATTACAAGCAAGGACAACAAGTCTGATATTTAGGCTTATTCTCTTTCCAACATCATCCCAGTCCTTTTTAACTTTGGGGTGAGCACTGGTAGTACTCTATTATCTTCAAGTACCACTTGGATCCTGCACTGCCCAGGTGCAGGTGTGGGTGTCAGAGGAGGATGCCCCAAGAGCTTCCAGCAGGGCCCGGAGATGAAAGCAGGGGCCAACATGGCAGAGAAGTTGGGGGATCCGTACTTGCCTCGTCTCTCAAACAAAGAGGTGCAGAAGCCAAAGGACTTTGAACACCAGAGCCTGGGAGGAAAAGAGACTGAATCTACCAGGAAGAAAATGGGGAAGCTGGAAAAAAGATGGGTGGGTAACTCCAAACTGGGGGAGATAAAAAAAAAAAAAAAAAAAGGCCGCACGGGCACGGAGGGGAGGGACCCCCTTCTGGGGAGAGACAAAGGGAAGAGAAAGAGCGGCTAGGGAAGTGTAGGACCATATCTGGACAGGAGAGAGACCTCGGACTGAGACTGAGAGGGATCCGATCTCTAACTGCGGGGCTTTCTTCCGACGGGGCCGGCTCCTTTTTCGCGCACCTGGGGAGGAGGGGAGCCAGGGGCCTGGGTGTAGTTGTGGGTCAGGGGCTCAGACCACAGTTGGAAACAGCAGTTCCCTCCCTGGAGGGCTGCGTGAGAGTACAAAGCCTGCCTGCGTCCTCAGTGGCTGGGCCAAGGGCACAGTCTGCAGTAGGAAGAGGCAGCCGTCTCCCTGGAGTGCTGTGGGAAAACACAACCACCAACCCCAGGGGCTCACGCAAGGGTGGCAGCTCTCACTCCGCAGTAGGAGAAGGCGGTCCTCCCTGAAGTGCAGTGGCACAGACAAAGCCAGCCGGGACCTACACATCGGCCACACTGAGAGGCGCTTCCCCAGTGCCAGAGCACACGGAGCGGGACTTTGAATCCTAGCCAAGCCTAGCGTCAGGGCACTTGGCGGAGCGAGAAGGACTGCCCTGTCTGCGCCCCTGGCACAGGCAGGATGACTCAAACGGAGTCCACCGGGTCGGCTCCATGGAGAAGAGACTGGGGGGGGTCACCATTCCCCGCCCCTCCCCCCAGCGAAGGCGAGGCCTCAGGGATCACTCCCAGGGCCCACAGCGGAGGTGGGCCCAGATTACACCACACCATGCCCCTTCACACTGGGTAACTGCGCATCCACCAGAGCGGCACAGACCCTGCAGGCAGCTACTCCCGACAAACTCTGCAGCATGGCCTGGACTGACTCTGGATCAGTTCTGGATGTATAGATATATCCTCCCCCGGCCTCCACTTCTCCTCCTTATCTCTTCCCATCCCTAGGCTGGTTACTCTGGTTATTGGTCTGTCTAAACAGACATATTTAATCCATTGTCTTGATAGTGTTCTACACCTCCTTCTTTACCCTCCTCTCTCTCTCTAGAATAATCAAGCCATATAGTTTCTCTGTCTGGGTAACTTTATCTTCCTTTCGTTTTCCCTGCCCCCTTTCTTATTATCCTCTCTCTCTCTCTCGATTAAGCCTTTCAGTCTCTCGGCCTAATCGATGTTTATTTTTTCTCTCCCCCGCACCCTCATTTCCCTGTATGTGCTCTTCCATCAGCACCACCTCCACCCTCCTCTTTACTTGTAGTTGGTGTTTTGGGTTCTTTGTTTTTAGTCTTTAGTTTTTTGTTTTTGTCTATTGTTTACTGTGTTACTTGTTTGTGTGTTTGCGTGTTTTTGTCTCCTGTTTGTCTGTTTTCCTTTACAGGGCTACTCCAAGGAACAAATGAAAGCACACCTGTTGGAGGGTCCAAAATATCACTATGAGTAGGGTAATAAAAAAACCAAAGCCACAACAACAGAGAGCAAATAACGATCTCCTCCTGAAGGACCTCCTGAAGGTCCAGGCCCTGGAGGGTGTATGACCGTCCTTTAACAGAGCAGTGCTCCCAGGTGCAGAGCACACAACAAGCTTTTAAAATGCATAAGGCACAGAAAACTAGCCAAAACGACAAAACGGAAGATTTCTCCTCAAAAGAAACTCCAGGAAGTAGCAACAGCTAACGAATGGATCAAAACCGATTTAAGCAATATAACTGAACAATAATTTAGAATAATAGTCATAAAATTAATTGCTGGGCTTGAAAAAAGCATAGACAACAGCAGAGAATCTATTGCTACAGAGATTGAGGGACCAAGAAATAGTCATGAGGAGCTAAAAAATGCTATAATTGAGGTGCAAAATAAAATGGAGACAGCCACAGCACATATTGAAGAGGCTGTGGGGAGAATAGCTGAATTAGAAGATAAAATTTTGGAAAAAGAGGAAGCTGAGAAAAAGAGAGATAAAAAAACCCAGGAGGCTGAGGGGAGAATTAGAGAACTAAGTGATTCAATCAAAGGGAACAATATCCGTAACATAGGAATTCCAGAAGAAGAAGAGAGAAAGAAAGGGGCTGAAGGTGTACTTGAACAAATCATAGCTGAGAACTTCCCTCATCTGGTGAAGGAAATAGGCATTGAAATCCAAGAGCACAGAGAACTCCCTTCAGACGTAACTTGAATCGATCTTCTGTACAACATATCATAGTGAAACTGGAAAAAAATACAAGGATAAAGAGAGAATTCTGAAAGCAGCTAGGGATAAACGGGCCTTAAAATACAAAGGCAGACACATAAGGATAGTAGCAGACCTGTCTACTGAAACTTGGCAGGCCAGAAAGGAATGGCAGGAAATCTTCAATATGATGAGTGGAAAAATATGCAGCCAAGAATCCTTTACCTAGCAAGTCTGTCATTCAGAATAGAAGGAGAAATAAAGGCGTTCCCAAACAAACAAAAACTGAAGGAATTCATCATCACTAAACCAGCCCTACAAGAGATCCTAAGGGGGACTCTGTGAGTGAAATGTTGCAAGGACCACAAAGAACCAGAGATATCACTACAAGCATGAAACCTACAGACATCACAATGACACTAAACCCATATCTTTCAATAATAACACTGAATGTAAAGGGACTAAATGCTCCAACCAAAATACATACGGTATCAGAATGGATAAAAACACAAGACCCATCTATTTGCTGTCTACAAGAGACTCATTTTAGACCTGAGGACACCTTTGGATTGAAAGTGAGGGGATGGAGAACTATCTATCATGCTACTGGAAGTCAAAAGAAAGCAGGAGTAGCCATACTTATATCAGACAAACTAGACTTTAAATTAAAGGCTGTAACAAGAGATGAAGAAGGGCATTATATAATAATCACAGGGTCTATCCATCAGGAAGAGCTAACAATTATAAATGTCTATGCACCGAACTCAGGAGCCCCCAAATACATAAAACAATTAATCACAAACATAAGCAACCTTATTGATAAGA